AATGAAAATTCATATTCAATGAATAGCATGATAAATGTCATATTAGCAAGCTGGAATAATATTTTTCCTTATTTTGAAATAATGTGACACAAATTTATTTGATATTTGCTTGACAATCAAAGTTGTCTTTCGTTAATCCACTTTATATAAAACTTTTGTTAAGGATTCTAGGTTTTTGTAATTTATCAAAAGAACGCACTTAAAAAGCAAAACCAAAATGTGACTTGCGTATTCAATTTTGTTGCGCCTCATTTTACTTATTGCAAGATAAAAATAGTAAGTTGCACGACTTGAAAATTGATCCATTAGTACCTATAACAGCAAGAAACTTGCTGTTGCAGTTCTTATTTTAGAAATTCGGAAGCAATACACTATGATATAGAGTTTTCGATCTAAATGTAGCATTTGTTTATAGCCCTGTTCTATATTTATTTTCTTTAAAAAAATTATCATTTCTTAGAGGAAGCAACACTTTGACTTATTTATATAAGATTTTTTATTTATATAAGCGATATCAGTTTTAGATATTTTTCTTATAATTTATATTTATTTAATCGACAAAAGCAAACTTTTCAACTTTTGAGGCATGCGTCAAAACATTAACTAATCCTTCGAGCCTGATTTCTTTATTTGTTAGTGCTTTTCTGCAAAAAAATATATATCTATATATATATATATATAAAACTATTCTTGCTATTCTTAACATGAAAATTTTACTTTCATTTTTGTGAATTTTTATTATTTAAAAATAATTTATTAAGAGAACAATATACTTGAAAGAAAATGTTAGAACACTTGCAAGGTCCTTATGTTAATTAACCAGTTGTTATGAATTTGATCTTTATTCATCTTTCTGCATTCCTTACCAGAATGCAAATTAGCTTTTAGTTTGTTTCAGCTGAGTGCTTTGAATCTGAGCCAGAAAGAATCTACTGGCACTCGATTTATGCTGGACATATTTTGTTGATATTGTGGAAATGCAATTATCTCAGCTCTGCAATCTCTTGCAGCCGATTGTTTTAAACTTACGCGCCGGTAAAGGTAGTTGAGCCAGCTTTTGTTTAGTTTATTGCCTGCGTAATCGTTTTATTTATGGCACAGGTCGTGCCTTTTATGTTCAAAGTTCCATTTAATAAGAAGGTTATTTAACCAAGAAGGAGAATGCAGAGCCAAGAAGGAGCATTATCAAGAAGGTAATGCAGCTTTCATACTATTTTCACACGTAGGTGTAGTCATCTAGTAGAGATGTAGGACTCAAGTTTAAGTATCAGCTCAAGACCATATTACAGTGCAACTCCAATTATCCGAACGCCCAATCCGAATTGCTTTCAGAATTTCAGAAATTTTCAGAATCAACTGAAGAAGAGGAGGAAAAAAAGGAAAAGAAAAAAGAAGCTCAAGGAAAAGGGAAAGACACTTGCGGAATTAAAAGCGTTCTCTTGAAAATTACTGGATGTTCAGAAGTTAGTGCTGAGAATACAGCAGAATGGATGGTGTGTGATTCGTCAGACCCTGGGTTTCAAATTCTAAACGATGATGGACTTATTGAAAGTCTGAGATAAGAAAGTGGTAGGGGAAGAATGTAACCTTAATGTTGAAGTTGAAACAGACACAGGGCCATCAGCTAGTGAAGCCTTTGCCGGTCTTGAAACTGCGTTCAAGTGGATGGAACGTCAGTCCGAGTGTGACCACATGCAGCTTCTCATTGTCAAGCATGATGCGCAACTTGGCTGCTCGAAAATGGATGAAGACAGTCAAACAGCTTACTTTGATAGAGATGCTCAGCAAGGAATGACTTTCAGCACTTGTAACTAATGTTCAATACACTATGTAAGATATACGTAAAAGTGTTGCCTTTTCATTGGAATTAATTAAAACCTCTTTTTCTTTAAAAATATTTTTCTCCCATTTTCAACATACAATACATACAGTAATTAATTAAAGTGTACGTAGACCCTTTCTTCGGAAAAAAGCCAATTATCCAAATTTTTGATTATCCGAATGGGGTCCAGTCCCAGTTCATTCGGATAATTAGAGTTCTCTTGTACCCATGTATTTTGCCAAATGTTTGTCAATTAATTGAAAAACCAAACTCTGTTTTGTCCATTAATTACCAAAATAAATCTTCATTTACTTCCCCAAAATTCCATTTTCAACTTATTTTATGAGTAAACTATGTTATTTACATATAGTAATCATTATAGTGCGCATGTTTAAAAGAAGAGCAAGCCCTTCGTCTGTTACCATTTGAGTTATCTATATTTCAGCTGCAGCAAATCCTACGATGTTATTAAATTCACTCAATATGTTTTGCTGAAGTTCGTATCTTGTTCTTAGCATATTACATCATTAAAATTAATTTTCCTTCACCTGCAGAGTTGACTCATATCGGAATTACTTCTCTTGTAGAATATGTCTGTTTCTTCAATTCTGGTCAGTAGTTATTTAACTCATTCAGATACCTCGAACTTCATTGCGACATTAAATTGTTAGTGATCAGTTACTGTTGAGTAAAAAGTAATGATATATTGCGCATTTTATTTTTTATTTTATGAAACGAAAATTGTTTTATGAAATATTTTACCTCAAAGCACGGTAAAAGAAAAATGCAAACTGAATCTGAAAAACTGTGAAAGAGAAAAAAAGCATAGAAAAGAGAGGAACGCAAAAGTATAAATGATTGTTAAACTCTGTATGATAGACATTAATTGTTGATTAAATACTCCTAATAAAGCAAATTGATTTTCTTTATCAAAAAATCTGTGAAATGAAGAAAAATGTTTGATAGTAAAATGACCCCATTTTTCAATTCTTATTCAAAAATGTATATTTTGTTAGTCATTTGCCTGATGATTAATAGAAAATATCGTACTTTGATTTCACGTATAAACTGAACTAATTCAGTCCTATTTCTTTTATTCGAAAATTATTGCTTTTCATAACACTGGCAAAAAAATTCAAGGATATTTAATATTTTTTGGAATGTATGTGGGAAACTTTAATTTTCTGAAATAAAAAAAAATCGTTAAAATATGTATGAATTTCCTGTAAATGGAATCTTGATTTCCTGGGAAAGAAACTCTTATATAATCATTTCTCAAATAGGTATAAACATTATTTATTATTTTGCAGCCCGACTTCAAACTGTCCAATGTTTGAATAAGTAATAATATGAAATAAAAAATTAATAAATTTGTAATAATTTTCATTAAACGTTTACCTTATTTTTAACAAAATCATACAAGAAATAACCTCACCTTTCGGCCCCAGCTGTTATTCGGAAAGAAGATTTTCCCCAAATTGGGATCTCATAGTTTCAGAGGCGGAAGCAATCGGCCTTTTATTTAGCCCTTAAGCATTTAGTTTCAGCTTATCAATATTAAAAACTAGTTTTGGTATTTTTCAATGATTTCTGTACTTTCGTTTGATTTACAAAACATATTAAAATACAATCTAAATCTAAATAAATGTATCTTTTGTATTTTTTATTTTTTATAAAGGAGGGAAGACTGATCTTCTAGCAATGCTAAAAGGTGTGTATGGGAGGAAAAGAAGCACCGGGTATAACTCAAACGAATGACGGATTGAATTTACTACAATGAATTATTTATCTATTCCATGCAATGATGATTTACTAGAAGAGATAAACATATATAAAACTCGATTCGCTGAGAAATGATATCATAAGTTTAATGTTCCAACCTATAATTTACAGCTAAATTTGTGGAACCTTAAGAACTGGTAAGCGAATAATCGCTTAGTTCAGAAAGATAGAAACGTAAAGTCACGAAGGGTTAATTACCCTTTACTGTTCAAATAAAGTTTACAGTCGCTCCTCTCTCAGGACGTACAGAAAAGCCTCTGCTTGGGTTTGAACTCAAGAATGCTAAGAAATAAAACTTGACTAAAGAGATATAGCTGAAACTAAACGGCGAAGATATGACGGGCCTAAAGTACGGCCGAGCGTAGAAATAGCTATAGAAATTTTCAGAGAGAGTGTAGCCAAAAGGTGAACGTGCGCTGGTCAGAATCTCTGGCTGTCTCGAACGTTCTGACAGGAAGTTGTAAGCTGAAATTAAGAAGGATAGGAAAGTGGTTTTAACTCAAAGTTAGCTATTAAAAACTTAGGATAAACTTTACATAAGGATTTCACACTGACAAATCTTCATCTTTAGTTCCTGTGATAAAAACTGCTCGAATATTTCTGATTTGAATTTTGTCTGAGGACCAAAAATATGTATTAGTATGGTAGTTAAGTATCTATATTCATTTTATACTCATATTCTTATTACTGAAGCAAGCTGAAAAGCAAGCCTTTTTCAAGTGGCAATAGCTTTTATTCCTGTTCCTGCTGGGCATCTTTAAATAAAAATTTTATTGGCAAGTTAATATTTTGTAAATGCCATTTTCATGTACGAACATAATTTGTTTGTAGTACTCACTTTCAATTCAAAAACCTTATATTTATCTTTTTTTTTTCATACTTTCTTAAATCAGATGAATAAGTAATTGATTTAAGGTAAAGAAAACAGACTTCATATCCTGCCTGCAATTTTTTTCACTTTAATAAAAGAGCTAAAATTTATATGAAAATGTTCGCATTGATAATAAGATTAATATGCCAAAAAGTTAAGGTTTCGGGTTATAATAGTAATATTGCCCATTTATTTGCTAAAGTAATGAAGAAATTACTTGGAAAGTAAATATTTCCTTTGTGTTTCTGGCTGTTCAGTTTTCTTAGAAAAGAAACCGGTTAGTCCAATTATTAAAATAGTTAGTAAAGCAATCATTCCTGTCAAAATAAGTTGTTCCTTGTTTTTCCCTACTTTTCTAAAAATTGGATTTCATTTTACCATGATAATACTAAATTTAATCATTTATAAAAAATATCAAAGATTTACTCTAAACTTGTGAGATCATGAAAATCAGTGCACTTATTCTAGATTCATTGGTGGAAAATTAAATATTCTAATGGAGATGAACTAGTAAAATATTCAGTACAGATTTTTAAATGAACTTTATTCATTTGCTAAGTACATATAAGAACCACAATATACCAAAGGAACTGAGAAACCCGCGTTTGGCTCAGAAAGAAAAAATCTTTCACAGTGCAAGTTTCAGATGTTTGAAACAAGCATATCTAAATAAGAAAAAATAACAAAGCAAAGCAACCATTTTTCTTCAATAAGAATTGAGGTAAGCTATGTTTAAGAAATGTTATGAACCCGTAATGCATCAGATTAAGGAAATAACTCGACGGCCATTTACGATATCTTGGGTACGGAACATATTTCAGTAAGCACCATATCTGCTGTCATATCCAGATATAGAACCACCATGCAAGTAGCCACTGTAAGCGTTACCGTATCCTCCAAGGCCTCCAACAATACCAGCTGATCCAACTCCAATTCCATAACCTCCACTAGTAATAGGTGCATATCCACCATGTGCAGATGAGATCACCTTGACTGCTGCAGGATCTTGATTAGCAGTTCCCGGTTCATTGGTCTTGATTTGAGCTCGAAATCCGGCATGATCAGCAACATAGTTGACCTGCCTATGTATACCCCTGGCGTCGGTGAATCCATAGCTGCCCTTCACTCCATGACCATCTCCAGATTCTTCTCTGTGTTGTTCTCCATGGTGATCTTTCACACTGTACCCAAACGCATACGGTTGAGGGTGGTGAATCTAAAAATACGTTAAGTGTATTTTAAGTTTTTTAACCAGGGCGACTAATTTAAATTTTAAATGCATTATATAAAGATACTTTTCTTACTTCACGGACAACAGGTACATAATGTGCCACTGCAATAGCAACAACAGCAGCGACAACGACAACCTATAATATGAAATAATCCAATGAACTTAAATGTCAGGTTAATCAAAACAGGCTTAAAATATACTTAAAGAAAGGTTTTTTAGGATAGTCGAAATTTTTTATGCATAATTCAGTAACTGAATAGCTGTAATTAGCTCTGTAACCTTTAAAAAAATTCTCGTTTTGTAGTCAGAAATGCGATTGAATTTGATTTTATCCTTTGACTTGTAACGATATATTCTGATATAACAAAATTTTCTGATTGCACCAGTGTTATTTTTTCATTTGTAAGATATTTATAATTCGCTAGACGTGTTTGTGGCTAAAAATTTTAAGTTTAGCTTTAAAATGATAAAAGTATGTGGCAAAAGCAAATGAATGCCCCCTTGAAAAATTTTATTTTTTAACTTTACTTATTTTTTAATTTTATTGCCTTTTTACTTACTTCATATTTTTACAATAATTTTATAAACTCAACCTGAAGTAAATTCATTATACAGGTCCCTGCACATCGATAGTGCAGCGATGTTTAAAATCTACGTTGTGATATCGAATTGAAAATGAGTCTAAGTGGGTTATGGTCCCTTCTCACTGAAAGATAGGTCGCGCACTGAATTGACACTGAATATGCATAATTCTGAAGTTAAAAGTCTCGGTCAATTTTTATCGAACGGAACTCAAACTTTTGTTTTATTATTCGTAATAAGTATAAAGTATTCCTGAATATAAGGACCAGGATGTATGAAGAGTTAGATTTCATAGTTATAAACTGAAAGTAAATATTTACGATTGGGAAAATAAAGAGAAGGTAAATAATTTACTGTACGCATATAAGTGTCAAATTTGAGTTTTTGTTGTAAAGATAATCAGACAATTTAACTTTTCATGCTTTTTTTTTATTTAAAAGTGATCAACTAGCTTTCAGACCACCAGCGGCAAGGCGATTAAGACTCTTGAGCACTCTAAGTTCGATACGAACTTGATTCCTGATGAATGGTCTAGCTGTATGGACTTTTCCGTAATACAAATCAGTTTTCTTTGACATCCCTTCCTTTAAGCAAACAGATCTATTGCGCTTTGAGTAATATTAACATCTTAAGTAAATAACAGTGAAAATAAATAATAAATCCAAGCCAAACAGCTTCGAAAAATATGAATTTATTAATTTTTAGAGCATACTAAGCACAATAAATTTATATGACTTAATATTTTAAGAGTTCATAATAATTCTAAAAACAACATTACGCAATTTTACTTCATGGAATGTTATTTAATTAAAACCAGTTAATGAACTTTGTAGTGACATATTATTGGATAATTATGAAATTAGTAGATTTTATTCCTATCACTTAAAAAATAAGCGACTTTTTGTTTAATAGTGCATTTTTATTTCATTTAAAACGATATTATTTTATTCAAATTAGCTTTGTAAGAGAACATTAGCCCGTTTATTCTCTAAGACGGTTTTATAAGATAAATTTTATCGAAACTGAATCAGTGAAAATTAAGCCTTTAATCATTTTGCTTTATTCTAGAGGTATTTATCCCGCTTTTTTATCATGCTTTCGTGGTGTAAGGGTCAACACACTTGATGCGCAATCGAGAGGTCCGTAGTTCGAGTCCCGGAGAGGACATTGCTCATTATTCCCGACTCCTATTTCGAAGTAACCTAATGTTTCTACAGTGGTGCCCCAATTAAAAGGTGGTGAATGATGATTCTTCACCCCCAGGATTTGGCGACTGGGTCCGCTAAAACCCCAGTTGCCCTATAAGGTATGTCTCGCTCCTTTTAGCAAGCCTTCGTGATGCAGTGGTCTGCACGCTCCGTTCGTAATTCAGAGGTCCGCGGTTCGATTTCCGGGGAAGGCATTGCTAATTTTTTATCTTGCCTCCTTCCAAAGTACCTAATGTCTCTACGGCCCTTTATAAGGGGGAGTATATAAGGTATTTCTCCCGCCTTCTTAACATGCCTTCGTTGTGTAATGGTCAGCACACTTGACGCGTAATCGAGAGATCCGTGGTTCGAGTCACGACGACGGCATTGCTCATTTTTCATCTCTAAAGCTTCAAAAATCCCTAATGTCTCTACAAATTCTGCTTGAAAGTATTATTTTCTGTGAATTAAAATTGTACATTTAACACAGTTCTGCTGAAAGTTTGTACTTTTTCAGCAACGCTTTAAACACTGACTTTTTAAATAATACATTTTTACTTTAAGCGATTTCAAATATTTATAAGCCCTGTTAATATATTTAATACTTTTTAGAACAAGGAGCATTTTTGGGGAGGAAGGAGATATCGGAATTAATTAATAGTAATATAACGTATAAATTTTCATAAAGTTAAAATGCCCTTTTAATTATAAAGAGAAAACATTTTTTAAACTGAAAATTTTCAGTTGCAATAAATTAATGCATCATTTTTAGTTACTCACTAAATACAATTATGTAATATAATTTTTAGAATGAGGAAAACTAATGTGAGCAAACAACCTAAGAATTATGTATAATTAAACTACAATCTAATTAAGTTTTAATACTAGTTAGAGATCTGGTATTTTTGAGCAATGCTTTTTGGAAAACTCAAACAACAAAATTTTCCAATAATTTTGCCTATTTTATACGTTTAATATTAATCAGCATTTTTAAGAAAAAGGATTGACAATCAAAAGTGAAAGATAAGAAAAGTCGCTTGTTATTACTTATGCTTCTTTTTCATGTTAAATGAAATTTTCTTTGCTTGTTTTGTGTTGACTGCGGAAAACTGAAAGAAAAATTTTCTAATCTAATACTTAAATCAGTTTTTTTTTTTTTTCCATTATTATTATTTTCCCTGTAACACATATTTTTCCCAGTTCCTCAGCCATTCTGAATAAGCACTTAATATTTCAGATTTCGTTGGGGGGGGGGGGGGGGGGGGGGGGGGGGGGGGGGGGGGGGGGTTCTTGGGGGGGGTGGGGGGGGGGGGGGGGGGGGGGGGGGGGGGGGGGGGGGGGGGGGGGGGTGGGGGGGGGGGGGGTGGGGGGGGGGGGGGGGGGGGGACAACGTTAAATCAGAAGGTCTTCGATAATTGTTAACGATCCATAGAAAGCATTTTACAAATCTGTCGTTTCGCTTGATATGCTGCGTGCGGTAAGAAATGAAAGTGAATTCGCATGTGGGAGTGGCTGTTTATTGAATTTGTGACGGTAGAGTTATTTTGTGGCTGCTATGAACTATGAGCTAATAAAAAAATCTTTCCTTTTTCTTTCCAGTCTGTAAATGATTCCTTTTGTGACTTGAAACATTTTAATACATAATACAAAATGTTGCAATGATTTATAAATAAATAATGAATTAAATATAATTATTAATTAACTAAAATAGTTTTTGGACGGTTACAAAATTTAACATATTTTACACATTTTCCTACTAATCTGCTTTGTCCATCTACAGATCCTTTGATTTGCCTCCCAAAATGAAGTTTTTCTAAGCGACATAGTTTTAAAAAAGGATGCAAAAAATTGATGAAATCAATAATATTTCATCTGCAAAAGTTTAATTGATTAATTATAAATTGTTTAATACTTTCAAGCTCTAAACAAATTGTTAATTTTTGATAAAATTAGCTAAAACTATTAATGCAATAATTTTGGGAATAAAAAGCTTTTTTATTAACTAAATTTAGCAAGCTTAAACTATCAAAATCGTAAAAAACAACCTTATATTTAGCGTAGGTAACCTACGCTAAATATAAGGTTGTTTTTTACGATTTTGATTGTCACATTAGCGTGTTTCTCTTCTAGTCAAGCTTAAACTATTTTTTAATTATTAATTATTTAAGAAAACTTAAAAAAAGTGATAGACTATTAATAAAACTTACATTTGCTCATTAAAATAGCCTGGTATATTTTAAATAAAATAGTTTTCATATATTTTAAATATTACCTTGATATAATCTAACATTATGTTCAAAATTAATTAACTGAAGCATATAATTAAAAGATAGAAGCGCATAATTAAATTATAAAAAATTACGAAACCGAAGAAGACTAAGCAAATGTTAGAAAATTTTATATACGTTGAATTTGTAAAAAGGAGCGTTTGAAACTTACCTTGAAGAACATACTGGTTGGGTAGTTATAAGAAGACTATAAAGTAATCTATTTAACTTTTGAGTATATGTGATAGCATAATGTGTTGCTACTTGCTTATATAGTCGTTGAAATCCCAGGCAAGAATTTGGAATGCCCAGGAATTAACGCAGAACCTGACGGAATCTATTTTAGGGCACACTTTCAAAACTTGTAGGGTCAGTTGTCGTACTGGCTGGTGTTAGGGAACGAAGTCCTTAACTCCGATTATAGCTTCGAATAAATCATTAAATTAATGCCAAAGCACAAGCTATCCATTTCCTTCTCGAATGTTGCATGCATTCTTAATTATGAAATCTTTTATCATGTCGAAACTGCAAAATTCGAAAAATGCCTATTAAATAGTGAAGGAAATAGTTTTAATAAAGGGTGTTTCTAAAATTTAAAGATACGGGATTTTTTTTTTTTTTTTTTTTTTTCAAATTGCAAAATAGAAGAAAAAATTATAAACTTTTTGTTAAAAAAAATGATCTGAATGAAACTTAGCTTTCCTACCAGTGAAAAAAAAATAATACAGCTACAAGCCATAGAACAAAATTTTTAATTCTAAATTATTTTACTAATTATCATCTTTCAACTTGAATAATATTAATATTCTTGAAGTTAAAAGAGATGAACGCATATTCAAAACTGAAAGATGAACATCATTATGCAAAGCCTTCGCTGCAGAACCGGCCAATCAATTTTTTGCGATTTGCGTATTTAGAATATGCACAGTAGAAAGCCGGCTAACATTTATATTTTCAATCCTTTAGTTTAAGGACGGTGTAGTAAATCAAAACCAGGTGAAAAGAAAGTTGCACCATCAACAAACTGAATATGGTAGAAACTCTGAATACGAAATAATCTTACAATCACTAAAGTTATAATGGATTTTTGAATCGTTCAAAGTTCTGTCTACAAGCTTTGGTTAGTTTTCAAACGATATGAATGTGCTTAAGACACATCATAGGAGACAACTCTCCATCTACGACAGCATAAGATTATATCTACGACAGCAGAAGATATTTAGCGCTAAAGGAACTAACCATAAGCTATACTACACGGCCATCCAACTTGCAAAAGTTGCCTGTACTGCAATATAGGTATATGAATATTCCATCACATTATGGTTCAACATTTGAATTACCTAGGGATATATACCGGAAACACGATCATGTCTGTGACATCATCCACAGAACATTATAGAAGTTGTTTGTAAAGTTGTCAGATTCCGTGAATGATGCAGATATGATCGAATGTCTTGTCTTCCTGATGAGAGTCGATTCAGTCTTTGGTCGGAATTCCAGATATCATTCCCCTGTCGAGAAGAGAGGAGGACGCACCAGCCAGAAAATATGCAAGAAAGTATCGTTATAATGGTGTTAGGGTGAGGGTGTAAAACGGCACCATGGCTTGTGTAGGCACTGTGCTACAGCTACTAAAACTGTCACGATGATAGGTGATGGCTACTGTGTGGTGGTTATTGAGCCTCATGTTCTCCTTATTTCGTGAAGCGAGTGGCTAGGTATTCCTTTCATAAATGACTACGTAAGCATCATCGAAACAGACCAATGGAGGATCTCCTTTAGAGAAAGCGAATATTCTTCAAATCGACTGTCCTGCATGCTCCCCAGAATTAAACCTTATTATATGAGCCATTACGACTACATGAATTGCAGCACACAATCCTTACCGGAAAACAAACAAGGCCTAATCTGTACTTTAAAGTAGGAATAAAATAATCTACCCCAGTAACTCCTTATTTTTTTGCTTCATGAACATGCCAGGGCGTTACGATTCCATGACTCAATATGAACATGCCAGGGCTGCATCACTGTTGAAAATAGGCTTAATCCCTACATAAACTGCATGGACACTGGTATGTACTTTTATTTCAGTTTTAGGTGTCCAATTCCTATACGTGACTGGTGGTAAAAGAGTGTCACTTTAATTTGGTATTAAAAAAAAAAAAAAAAAAAAAAAAAAAAAAACTTTTTGTTTTTAGTTGAAGGACAAAGCCCCTTTTCCCTTGAAGGGTTTTTGTTTAGCGATTTTGCGTTGAATCACTATAAGCGGCGAATCACTGATCAAACTTTTGCCACCGAATGTTAGAGTCCTGGATTATATTTGAAGAAATTGAATAATGAAAACTCTGTATAAATGTATGTATATTTCTCGCATTGTGATAAAACAACGGCACATAGAGCCATCGAATTTTGAATGACGTAATCCTCCCACGAATATGGGCCTGTGGAAGACCAAATTTGAAATTTAGAATTTGTTTTATTATTGATTTCATATTCTGTAAAACTTTAAAGAATTTTTGATTAACAAACTCAACGATTTAAAAGCGAGCAATAACAAAACTCTACGGGGGAGAAAAAACCGTTTTATCTCCAGCGCGCGGAACTGTGTATCGTAAATTCTAAAGATAGGCTCAGTTTAAAATTATTTTGCGACATTGCTATTGAACTGAATTTTATGGTTTAAGTGCAAAGAACATGATATTTAATAAATAAAGGTAACACACAAAACGTCAAAAAAAACACCCCTTTGCACGTAATTTAAAATCTGTAATCTTTCAGATTATTTTAACATTTTGTGTGTTAATTTATTATTATTATTATTATTATTATTATTATCTTACGTTAGGTAAATAAATATAATTTACTTATACGAACAAATATGTTAGCTCATCCTTAAGTTTCAGGTATGTTTATCGTAATTAATTCAGTATATTGAAACATTATTACTTCAATTCTATTTCTTTACTAAATGTTATTTTACATTCACATTTTTTTATTTATTTTGATTTAATAACGTTTAAACTAAGCTTAATAGCGTGAAAACACACCACCTTTCTTTTTTCAGGGCATCTTGACTGTTAATGTGGCGCTTTCAAAAATTTGCCCTTTAATTTCAATTTTAAAAAATCTTATGTGTACATCACATGACTTCCTTGTACGCAATATTAAATTATACGTATTTTTTCCTGTATTTCATTTAAACTTATTTCCTCGAATTTCATTAGAGATATATTTCTTATTCAATTGATTCAATTCTCACTTCGTGGAAAGGCAAATAATAAAAACTCAAACTATTTTCATTACAAATTTTAAGATATAGAAAAACAGAAAATACCAAATACATGTAACACAATTAAAATTACAGTTTCTACGTATAAACAAGGCCAGCAAGAAAGAAGACAGATTTTTCGGTGCACAAAACTAAAAGTTTCCTTTAGGTCCCACTTTGCAAAAAGACACTGAAGGTGCAAAAAAACTTAATTCACTCTTCCGCTAAATTTCAGATGTAAGCAAATGTGGCTGCTAAAGTAGAAAAATCTGATGTTTGCACCACACCCTGCACTGAATATTAAATTATACCCATTTGTTCTTGAATTTCATTTAAACTTATTTCCTCGAATTTCGTTAGAGATATATTTCTCATTCAATTAATTCAGTTCTCACTTCGCAGCAAGGCATAAAACCTCCAATTACTTTCATTAAAAATTGAAAGACATATTAAAAACATCAGATACATTTAAAACAATTTAGAAAAATCTACAATTGAAATTACAGTTTCTAAGCAAAAACAAGTAATTCGACCAACTATCAAGAAAGCAGTTTTTTTCGGTGCACAAAACTAAAAGTTTCCTTCTGGTCTCAATCCGCAACAAGACACTGAAATTGCAGAAAGAGTTAATTCCCTATTCTGCTACTGCTAAGTTTCAAACCTAAACAAATATGGCTGCTACGGTAAAAAAAAAAATTGGGCTTAGCCGCACTTAAACAACTTTAAAATTGTTGATAATTATACAACTATTGCACGCAGATTAACTAAAGGCATAAAAACCTTAACCGGAAGATAAGAACAAAATAATTCAATCATTTTTAAAGCAAACACTGCGCAACTTACCAACATAGACGGATAAAAATCTGAGCTCACTGAGCCGAGTAACAGAGTGGATGTACACTGGTCTGCAAAAATTAAGGACGAAGTCGAAAAATTAGCATATCAGCTGAACAAAGAGGCAGAGCGGACAGAAAGTCTAATCAGGAGATTAAGTAAGGTGATGAACGGTAGCACATGCGCAGATATGCAGGTAGACGTAATGGGGGAGTGTCTGAGTATAAAGCATGTTGTCGGTGTAAGATCAGTATTTCTGGCAAAGAGATTGCACGCCGTATAGCAGTTAAAATCACACCGAGTAGCTGCCTCAGCGAGAAATAATCAATCTGTTAGACGACATCTGGATGCTTTTACTCGAGGTCGAATCATTGGGAAGTTGGAGGAAGGCCGCAGTGTGACAGGTGTGGCTGCAGAGTTCGGAATTGCTCACAGTATCGTTTCACGACTTCGGAGACAATTTCAAACTACAGGAACAGCTATCCGGGAGTTTAGTAGTGGTCGTCCACGAGGAACCACACCCGCAGATGACCGGTATATTGCCTTACAGGCCAGAAGAAACAGGCGGCAGACAGCGGGAGAAATCGCTAGACACACGACACAGGCGACTGGACGACCGATATCGCGTTTTACCGTGGCCAGAAGACTGCACGGTGGTGGTCTGTTTGCACGACGCCCTGTACGGTGTGTACCTCTAACGCCTACCCATCGGAGAAGGCGTTCTCTGTGGTGCCGGGAACACCGGAATTGGAGAGACAATGAATGGGGACGAGTACTCTTTACAGATGAGAGCAGATTCAGTCTGAGTAGCGATTCTCATCGCATACTCATCTGGAGAGAGCGGGTAAGCCGCAATCATCCCTCGAACATCATTGAAAGGGACAGGTAGGGAGGTGGCGGTGTTCTCGTTTGGGGAGGCATCATGCTTGGTAGTCGTACAGACCTTCACATGTTCGACGCAGGTTCAGTCAAGGGGACCCGTATTGTAACGAGATTCTTCTTCCATATGTGCGTCTTTTTAGAGGCGCTATGGGTCCGCAGTTCCTTTTCATGGACGACAATGCACCATATCATCGCACAGTAGCTGCCGAACAGCTCTTAGACAGTGAGGATATTGAACATATGGATTAGCCGGTACGATCTCCGGCTCTCAATCCCATCGA